TCTTTAGTAATGTCGGAATGTCCCTTTACAGACCGAAGGTAAGGGGGGCTCTAACGACCGAATGGACCTCCTGATGTCGAACAACGGATTGTCCCAATCGTGGACCCAAATTGATGGAAAGAAACCAGTTCCTGCGAACTCGGCCGAGGCCCAGTAAATGCTTGAAGCCAAAAATAACCACACTACACTACATGCTATGTTGGACACCAACATTGTTTTCCAGCGAAGGACTAACATTGTCACTATTGCGGCAGAGATTTTTCAGTATCACTTTGATCAGAATCGAAGTCACATCGCATTTGAAATACTTGTAATAAAGATCTGAGAGGAGCTAGAAGCATCTGTTGAAAAAGCGGCAGCGCGAGAGAACTACTTGGAGGAGGAAGTTCAGCGGTGGCAGGCCCAGGCCAGGCACACTGACCCAGTCGGCCCAACAGAGGTGCCCCATGGCACACGTCGCAGGCGACCAAAAACTCAACGATGCGAGCAAACCAGGTGGAGGAGAAATGTCTTCCAGCGATCGGGCAACATTGGATGCTCAAGCAATGTTTCGTATTAAGCACAATGCATATTGTAATTGGTGCTTGATGCTGCTTTATTTTGCAATGTCACAGCTTTGGCAGCAGCTGTGGAGGAGCAGCTTGTTGTTTTGCAAGTTGAGCAAGCTGAGCTCCAGAAATCCAAAGAGGAACTCCAAAAATCCTTCAAATCTGAGCGGATGGAAGCTGACGCTTTGAAGATGCAAGCTGCTTCATTGTTGGAGGAGGTTCCTGCTGCGAAACAATTCGTGTTTTGAATTCAGCATCACCTCCGGATGATTCCTTGTCATTGTTGTGACATCAATTTCTACAATTGCCTTTGGCAATGCAAGAATGATCAAGAATACGGAGTTGCTAGTTGTGGGTATGTGCATGGGTTGCAGCTTTTTGATGTGTGTTTCCTTTGAATCATTTGTCAAGTCTTCCACAGTGCACGTCAAGGTTGCACAAGAGAACACAACAGTTCGGAAAGCGAAGGACGGGTCGCCGAGGGGTTCTGATATTTTGCTTATTTAAAAGGTAAGGACAGAAAGATCAAGATTGGAAGCTACTATTTAGCTACAACTCTTTCGTAAGGGCATTGGGCTCAGGGCGCTTGCAAACACTTTGTTGTTTCATCAGTTCGAAACGGTTCGGATCGGCGGATTTCTGATTTCTTTGGCCAAATCTGTCACAGTGCGCAGCGCCGCGTAGCGCCGTGTAGCGCAGAAGCGGCTTGTTGGCTTGAAAGTACTGGAACAATCAAGGACGCTACTAGGGGCTCCTGGCATCGCTACTAGAAGCAAGGACGCTACTAGGGGCTCCTGGCATCGCTACTAGGAGCAACGACGCTACTAGGGGCTCCTGGCATCGCTACTAGGAGCAAGGACGCTACTAGGGGCTCCTGGCATCGCTACTAGGAGCACGGACGCTACTAGGGGCTCCGGGCATCGCTAGTAGGAGCAACGACGCTACTATAGGGGCTCCTGGCATCGCTACGCTTATTGCTAGGAACAAGAAGCTGCTAGCGGCTCCTGGCATCGCTACTAGGAGCAAAGAAGCTACTAGGGGCTCCTGGCCTTACTACTAGGAACAAGAAACTACTAGGGGCTCCTGGCATCGCTACTAGGAGCAAGGACGCTACTAGGGGTTCCTGGCCTCACTAGTAGGAACAAGAAGCTATCAGGGGCTCCTGGCATCGCTACTAGGAGCAAGGACACTACTAGGGACCCCTGGCCTTACCACTAGGAACAAGAAGCTACTAGGGGCTCCTGGCATCGCTACTAGGAG